CAATGGAGCCTCGACCTACAGACTTTTTGACCTGTAGCCACCGTTTCAATACGGATTAATTCCGTAAATCGAGGGTACACTAATGTATAGTGAATGAAGTTAGGGACTACGACTCAGGAGGCCTGGGTTCCAATCTTTGCTCAGCCATGTAAACTCCAGGTGCCGGCGCACTGGCAAAACCACTTGTTAAATATCTCACTTATCTTGAAAACTCAACTGCTGTCATCAAGTCACCTCCCAGGTGTAGGAACCCTACAGATAAACAATCTCTAAAATGTCCTGTCTTCAACAGCCCTACTCAGCTCTTGTAAATTCAAGAATTTAGGGAGTCAGTTCATCTCATGTTTGGTTTTCCTCTTTTCCTGATTGTCTTTTCCAGAAAAATTTGCCTCCTGATATGCCCAAAGTAAGATAACCCTACCAGAGTTGTTGTTAGTCTGATGAGACTTGACAGAATATCTCAGCTACCTACCAACTGAATTACACATGATGAAGGGGACTTGACTCTGCAAAAGCTTATGCCCTAATAAATGGTTTCAAGATGCCACAGGACTGTTGTTTACAGAACAATAGATTCCTTTTAATCTTTTCCAATGCCTTAAACTAGTATTTTTTTTGCCAAGCTGACTAACCATAAATATATCCTGTTGCACCAGCTTATTGTACAGCTTTGACAGCAGCAAAAACAAAAGTAGTGGAAGGAGGAGTATTGAGGAGTAGGTTGGGAACATCTGGAGTGAAGCTGTTTTAAAAACAAAGCCTAAGATATTAGGTGCCTGTACATGCAGCCCAAATGCATGTGATTTAGGCAATAAACTGTAAATAAGAATGTATTCATTCCTGAGGTTAAGTGTGTTGCCCCTAAGCTGTCATCACCAGTTTGCATTGGCTAACATGTGCTGGATTATGGAGTAAGCCCGAGAGTTCCAGAAAATATCTACTTTTGCTTCATTGACTACGCAAAAGCCTTTGACTGTGTGGACCACAGCAAACTATGGCAAGTTCTTAAAGAAATTGGAGTGCCTGACCGTTTTAAAAGATGACTGAAGATTTTTCTTTTAAATCTCTGAAGAAACAGTGAATGCCAAGATTTCTTCAACAGATACAGATCTGTTGTAGAAATTTTAGCATTCACTGTAGGGAAGACAATTAGGAGGTGGTATAAACTATGTCCAGATATTCTGAAGGACTACCTATTGTTTCAATTGCTCCAAAGTAAGAGGGTTTTAGAATAAATTTTAGATATATTTCTGCATATAACTGACTAGATCTTCAGGCCATTGCTGGAGATTGTCACCTGGAGGATCCTGATGGGAGAAGTCACAAGGGTGAGAGTGACAGAATCTTCTCAGCTCAGACAGTTTGCAGCATGTCCTGCCTTACCAGGCACCTACATTGTTATTACTTTGGTTTCAGGTGAAGACATACCTCCTCCCAGTAATTTTAGTCTGTGGCCAAAATCCTGTTGAGCAGGTTCATCCTGTGCAATGAAATGACATCATCATCAATGGCAGATTGCCACTCATTAAAGACCTCCTTTTTCAATGTTAGGATGAAGATTACTTTGACTCATTGTGTATAAGTGGGGTGAGCGCTGAAATCAAAAAAGGAAGTCTTTAATGTACTGACAATAGTGTAATCATTCTCATTGCACAGGCAGAATTGTATAACAGGAATCTGGCTATGTTTTAAAGTCAAATTTAAGCTTCATTAAGTGCCCAGAGTTAGAATGAATGTTTTCATGCTTATTATTGCATTAAAAATATTCTGTGCTGGTTGATACTTATGATATTGATCTTTAAATAATCAGTAATTTGTCCAAATACTTTTTTACTAGACAAACTAAAGAATAAAATAAAAGACATTCCTGGAAAAAAAAAGTGGGAAAAAATCATGTTGGGACAATTTTTATCACATTTTTAACATTCATCCTGCATATAACCAGTGGCTGAAACCCAAAGACTTGTAAGAAAACTCTTTAGGTGAATGCCTCCTTTGCAGGTTTAGTTCTGTGTCAATTTTAAATCAAAACAAAATTCTGGGGGGCTAAAACATCCCATCTCTGTTGATGAGTTAAGCAGCAGCTGGACAGTCATTTAGTGAGGGTGCTTTAGTGATCTGGTTTCTGCATTAACAGAGCTGGGGTAGATTGTATTCAGAGATCTCTCCTAAATCTCTAATTCTAAATTAATTTACTTGTACGTTTAGACTGCAAATGACTAAAGTTCTCCAAGCAGCATACAGGCAAAATTTAAAAACGCAGCATGAAATAAAAGAAAAGCAATGACAGTAAAACAGTGTAATAAAAAACCCAACAGGAAAAAAATACAGGAGGGTCATGACCTTTGGGTTCAAATAAGTGAAAATGGAAAGGGAAGTCCTAGAATAAAAGAGACCTGAAATGTATGAAATCTTCTGTTCTCAAGTTGTACAGGATGGCACTGAAACCAGGACAACAGAAAGCTTCTCATTAGCTACTTTCAAAGACATGACACTATTTTTAGTATTTCAGTTGGCTTAATCTTTGTTTTTCCCCTACCTCATCCCGCCAACCTAGCGGTTCGAAAGCATGCAAATGCGAGTAGATAAATAGGGACCACCTCGGTGGGAAGGTAACAGCGTTCCATGTCTAAGTCGCATTGGCCATGTGACCACGGAAGATTGTCTTTGGACAAACGCTGGCTCTATGGCTTGGAAACGGGGATGAGCACTGCCCCCTGGAGTTGAACACAACTGGACAAAAATTGTCAAGGGGAACCTTTCCCTTTCCCTATCTCTACAGTTCTTCTTTCATTTACAATGCTTGTTTTCCCTTTTTTGACTACATTGTGGCATCATCACCATTTCCATCATTAATAAGATCAGTTTTCAACAAAAATTAACCTGCTTGTGTGCTAATAGAGATACAGTAATACACTTGAACTCAACAGTGAGCAACTGTTTATAGCTATAATTTAATACAGCCATGGAAATCAGCTTCTGTCCTCTCTACCTTCTTGAGTAAAAGTAATCTGAAACATTTATAATCTGTAGTTGTGGACTGGGAAAATACTGGAAACAATTGGGTCTCTATTCCATAAACAGTTGGAAATTGTTACCCATCTCCTTCAAGAAAAGAAGCCTGCAATTCTGAAATATGGAGACAGCTAAACTTGACCCTGTTGGTTTTGAAACTAGTTGATGCACTGCACTGAAATAAAGGAGAAACATACTTCCTTAATGAAGTATTAACTTGACAATCACTCTCCAAGGAAAACTCTCCCACTATGGCCACAGAAAGGATTTCTAAAGGAAACCTCAGTGGACTGCGGAAGCCACAGAATTGGATATTTCTTATGTACAGTACTGTACTTTAATCTGGATTTATATATAAACTTTTTAGTTCAAACACATTTTCTGCTGAATTTTTAAAGTGGAATTTGTTTCTATTCTGTGATTACTACTGCCTGAAGTGTTTGTTTCTTGAATGTGTGCTGAATCTGATCTTGGCAAATGAGCAGATGCCAATATTGACTATAGTGAAAAGTAGGCACTTACTGTTTTGAAATTTGATGGTCATAAGATACTACTGCAGACATGCATTTTAAAAACTGTTATGACTTAAAATTCTAAGAAGGGATATGAAATAAACAGAAGTGGATTTCTTAAAAAAAAATAAAGAGAATGCTTCTATATTATAAAATTACCGTGCCAGCTACATGATCCTGAGACTAGAGCAATGAGTGTAAATCCACAACTTGAATTAGAAATACTATTTCAATACCATTTTACTGTGAGTGAATCTAAACTTTTTAGATACAGGACTGCAGTATATTTGTGCAGTCTTCCATAATATATTTTTCACTACAGTTCTTGCACTTCTATATTCCTCCTGCCCAAACTGTATTTTTTTAAAAGAAGTAATGATGCTAAAATCAGCTAGACCGCAATAATGACAAAGCCAATCAGTCTAATACATTCTTCTGAAAGGACTGGCATGCTGTCTGAGCCAGAAGTGTCCACTTGCTAAAGTCTCCATGCAGGAGCCAATCAAACAGCTCTATCACCTTTTAAAAAAACTCTGGAAGTTCGTTTGTACTGGGAGTATTCTTAGCAGAGTAAGCTCCATCAGGAATATAATGTGCAAACATTTAAGCGTATTGATCTGTGATGAAAGGTACTGTTCTTTGTAGTACTGTTGAGTGAGCTTAGCTCATTTTGCCACTGAGAGGATCCAGATTTCTATCTCTACTTACGTTCAGGTGTGAATGTATAGGCAGGAGAAGCACAAAGGAATCATAGCACCCTGAAGCTGGAAGGGACCTGCAGAACCATTGAGTCCAACCCACTGCTCAATGCAGGAATACATATCAAAACATATCTGCCAGGTGGTTGTCAAAATGTCTCTTGAATGCTTCTAATGTTGGAGCACTCACCACCTCTCAAGGTAACTGATTCCATTGCCGTACTGCTCTAACAGGGCTATATTTGAACAATTTGGATTACCCATATATCAAAAAGGAGGTGGGTGGAGCAAAATGCTGTGTACATTTATACAATAATACATCTAAGGATGTATTTTTTTAAAAAAATTGTTTTGTGCAGGATAAGTACTTAAGCTTTTATGAATACAGAAACTCTATGCACATGTGACACTGAAGTAGATCCACTAACATGATGGATGAATTTGTTTAGTTCCAGAAGACTTAAGAAAAGGTGGTGTGCCACTGCTGAGTAAGACATCATACCCTGTGTTTCATCTCTTCTTGTTTCCCCCAATTTTTGGTATAAGTTAGGGTGGGGAGCTGGAAGAAGAAATTAAGTACAGATGAATTACTCTGAAGTGATAGAACTTCTTTTCTCATATGCTTTGGAATCAAGACAGTTTTGTTATCAGTAGTTAGGTTGACTTACCTTTAAAGTAACTCTGTTTTTCACATGAGAAATCTCAAACTTCATTAAACAGTATATCTTAAAACCATACGCAATATCTAAATTCTTTCATGAACCTTTAAAAACCAATGTGGATGTATATGAAAATAATGAAATGGACAAGGAAGAAAGCCATCAGGTAAGTATTCAGCAGGGTTTTTTTTAATGTAGTATTTCCTAGATAATAAATAATGGAGTATACTACCTGAATAACAGTTGCTTTCATGCATTAACATGTACAATAGTTCTGGCCTCATGTTTCTGTTAGGACAATTTGAGAAGAGGTACTTGGCAACAATAATATGAACAGCTTCAAAAATCATAGCACCAACTCCTTCAGCTGTTAGGTTGGTTTTTAGAAACATTTCTTGTACACAACTTTAAATATTATTCTATTTTTTAAATTTTATTTTCAGTGTGCCAAGGAGGTAAACCTTGGGAAAAGAGCTACCAATAAATATAATTTATCATTTATAGCTAGTCATCATTTTTGTTCCATTTGCACAAAGCCATGTAGGTAAAAAGTCAGATTACCAGAGGGAAAAAACATAAATTTAACTCATCTAAATATATTCAGTGCAAATCCCAATCTAGTCCCAAAGCTCAGATACAGTAGTATAGTACCAGACTAAATATCATCTTGCAGGTTCCCTGCATAGACCCCACTGAAGTGGGAAAAGTGTACAAACACTACTACGATCTCACACAGCCCTCTTCCATTTTGCTGGGGCTCATGGAAGGAAACTCCTGCATGGATTGAGTTCTAAGGCAGTATGATTCCAATTAAAAACATGGGTAAAGAAGTGTGCAAACAGTGGAAACTATGGTATTTAAGACAATTTTTTATTTAATTTGCAGGTGCTGCACTACTAGAGTATTTTCAGGTTCTTTTTAGGAGGCTTCTGGGTGAAAACTTAACAGTGCTGCAATCCTGTAGAAGAGCTAATTGGTAAAATACAAATCAATCCTGTTGTTAAAAAAATTAAATATTCTAATTAACACTGAAAAAGTGATTATTTACAGTTTCTCAATGACACCAGTGTATAGCACAAAATCAAAATATAGTTTGCTTGTTTTTGTTTTAAATATAGGCATCTGCCTCTCATAATCTCGTTCAAAACATTGGTTATTAATAATACAAAGTCTCCTTTTAACATCAATTTAACGAAGGAGAGCGATCTGTGGTCCAGAGCAGTTCTACGTATGGCCATTTTGTCTGCAAACAGCGCTTGATTGGAGTATCATCAGTCTGTAGCATTGGGTCTTCGAAGCCCATAATCACTGCTGTACCCTCAACATACATGACCTGTCAGGGTTGAATTAACTAGTTCAGTATATTGTTGCAAAGAAATGTCAAATTATTTAACATCAGTAACAGGCATTACACATTTCAAGAGAACAAAAGCTTTTCTTCCCTACCAGCAATTTCAGAAGTAAAAAACTAATAGAACTCTTAATTTTTTGTGCCTCATTACACATGATCTTTGTAAAATAAGTAGAAACATCTATAAAGAAAACAAAATCTGTTCTAAAACCGGCATTTTCATTAGTTTAATCTCAATGTGATACAATTTCATATAACCTTTTTAAAATATAGGATGGAAGAGACATTGGTGGTCTATGGATATATTGGCTGAAATCCTGTTGAGTAGCTACACGTGTGATGTGATGTTACACACCCACTGCAGCTGCAATTGTGTTAAGGTGGAAGGTGCTAATCATGAAGCACTTCTTCAGGTGCATCATGCAATAGGCAATCAGGTTTTCTAGCTAAAGTGAGCCAAACAAACGCACTTCCTCTCCTGCCAAACTGCCCTCCCCATTTCATCCCTTTCTTCAGTCTGTTGTTAGATGTGCTCCTGCAAAGCGAATGAGCAACAGGGGTGGGTAGCAGTGGAGAAGAATGCAGCATTTTTGCAACTAATTATTTTCTTCCCCACATGTTCATCCTTATCAATACTCCTGAGAGGCAGCTTTCAAATAGGGGTTTAGATGGCTGCTCCTCTGTCACCCAGCATGGCCCCCAGCAGAGGCACACACAAGGCAGGGAAAGCACATATGCTCCTTCCTAGCTCAACTGTCAGCTCTCCTAAGAATAAGTATTGCTATTGCTCTCATGCTGCCTGCCTGCCTGCCTCAAAACAAAAAACAAACCAACAAACCATACACAGAGCTGTATGCAGTGCTAACGGTGACTGAAATATTCTTATATTCTTGAAAGAGGAAAACTTGAAAACTTACAACAGATGCTAACAGATTACCTGCAAGAAAACGGCCCATTTCAGAATATTCTTCCTTGCATTCTAAAGCAAAGCTCTAGCAACAGAATATCTTCTTACAACACAAAATGATTCCTCCCCTCTCTGCCCAGGATAATATGTCTGACAGTTTGGAGTATCATTACAGGTTTTATAATGACTCCTAGTTTGCTTCACACTGACTGGACTGAACTGAAAAAACACTAATTTCTTTTCTGAAATTTTAATAATCCTTTGCATTTTCTCAGATCATTACTCAATTTTTCACACTGTAAAATGTAACCACTAGCAAAATGTCAATTCATTGCTTTGTTTTATAGTGCTGTTCCCTTGGGAAACAGTTCAGTGTAGATAATTACTTTCCATGGAATTCATGCAATACCATGTAACTGCCACTTCAAGAAAACACTACTCTGAATTAGCTTCACCTGATAGTGCCATACCTTTTCATTATAATTAGATTGTTTCAGTCCATTGTAGTGGTATACAGTGAATGATTCTTGAACCTTTGAATCCTAAGAAAACACTCAAGTTAGTATCATGGAACATATTTCTTCCCTAACAGAGCATTTATACATTGTTGCAAAACATGCAACCTGAACTTTGAGGTCAGGAGAACAAAAAGGCAAACTGAGGTTGCATTCTTCTGCACACTTTCAGAGAGCAAGCCGTACTGAATATACTTGGTCTTATGTCTAACTAAACATGCACATGTTGCGTCGTATGATGTCCCTGCCTTTGCAAAGTAAACATAACTACAAAAGGCAGACACAGAATATTATTGTTAATTGTTTCACTGATCTTGGGCTCAAGAATGACTAATTTTAGATTACTGGCTGAAATCCTGTAAAGCCATCCTGATAGTGGTGAATTTTGGATATTAAATGTCAGGAATGGCTTCCTGACAGTGGCTCTCAAAGTAATTACATAAGAGACTCAAGATTTTCAGGGAAGAAATCAGAAATTTTTAATTTCAGAAAAACGGCCACAGTTGATGATGTCTTCAGCCTTCCACAATGTAATTTGCGCAACAGGATTCAGTTGTTGCCTCTTTCTTTTCTAAGAGTTACACCTCTACTGCTCTAGTAAGCAACTAGATGTAGTGTGAACACCCATATGAAAGTATCCCTTTCTTCTTTTACACTGAATCTCTAACCTAGAAAATACTGCCTATACTGACTGGTTTTCAGACATATATTTCTGAAGATAGCAATTTAATTTAGAGCCTTCTGTATTAAAAGCTTATGCTCCAGCACTAAGCTTCAGAACCACCCCATAAAAATATCTAAAGATTTGTTTCAATTTGTTTAAACCTTTAAAGCTGCATCAAAACTTTCAGATGAAAACCCAAATGTGGCTTTCCAGTTTTACTATCATTCTATCATAGGTGACAGTAGCTACCATGTAACTTAAATCAGCTTCTCAGCATCTGGGGCTCAGGAGGTGTTACTAGATAGGAAGTGTGGAAAGAGGGAATTAGTATGTTGTTCCTCAAGTAGTTTCTACTGTTTGCAGATTACAGAAGTGTGTTTTGCATTAATTTGCAGTATACAAAATAGAGAGGAAGAAGAGGGAGGGGATAGATAAATGTGAACAGTTTGAGATACTATGAACATTTAAAAAAAGTTGAATGCATCACTGATCAACGTATGACTACAAATTCCCCCAACATAGCAACATAAATATGTCATTACATTACCTGTTCAGGAAAAAATTCTTGAAGAAAGGGACCAAGCAATATGATTCCCAGTCCTTCTGGATCTAATTTTGTCTTCATGAGATTTACACTAAGATAAGAAAATGAAGAACACAAAATATGGTGCATTTGTAGTCTTGCATGACTAAGTACTATACTTGTGCAACACTTTCAACTGCCAAAAACAATCAAGCTGTTGTACTTAACATCTTAATGATGAGTGCAAAGGAATGGCATCTTGTTGCCAAAACAGAGTTATTTTTAAACCAATCTTATTTAAAAGAAAAGTCGCAGCAATAATTGAAACACTATGCCTTATTAGGTAAAGTTTTCAGGAAAAGCACACTGTCTAATTCCTGGGATTATACTCCAGAAGACTTAATGGATATTGCAAAAAGGCCTACACTAACACATCCATCAACTTTCAAACTGTCTTGCATAAGACCAAACATTTTTAGAAATTTATGTGTCAAGCTGAAATGAACAAAACTAAGCCTGCAGCAAAGCATGGCCACGGAACCTTCTGCTTCTCATTGATGTTGTGGGCTGCAACTTTTACAATCCCTTATCATTAGCCATGTTGCCTGTGAGCATTCTCTACTAACATCACAAACTGGCAAAATCTTTGCCACTTGGTTCTTTCCCTGACAATACAAATCCTACCAACTGCATCTCTGCCCCATTTAATAACCATGCAGAAATGTGGACCGACATATTGAACTAAGCATGTCAAGCTTCACTGTATGATTGCTGATTAAAAATAGGAAATTGATTTCTAGAGTGAAATAGTTTGTTGATCTCAGTTATTGTTTTTTGTTGTTGTTGAAAACCAAGTAAAAATATTTCACCCTCCTCCCAAAGAACTATTGCCCATTTATTGGAATGCATAAGGTAAAGGTTCCCCTTGACATTTTAGTCAGTTGTGTTCGCCTCTAGGGGGCGGTGCTCATCCCCGTTTCCAAGTCGTAGAGCCAGCGTTTGTCCGAAGACAGTTTCCGTTGTCACGTGGCCAGCTCGACTTGCTGTTTACCTTCCCACCGAGATGGTACCTATTTATCTACTCGCATTTACATGCTTTTGAACTGCTAGGTTGGCGAGGAGCTGGGACAAAGCGACGGGAGCTCACTCCGTCGCGGAGATTTGATCTTACAACTGCTTGGTCTTCTGACCCTGCAGCACACAGAGGCTTCTGCGGTTTACCCCGCAGCACCACCATGTCCCCCCTGGAAGGCCAAAATGTTGCTTTGACTTGCATCTGGAGCTTCAAGTTACAACCAGAAAAGGGCAAGGAAGAAAGGCGGGGAATTCAAATTGCTAACTATTGGTGGCGAAGAGGGTGCGTCTTTGTAGCTCTTTCGCCCAAGTGGCTAGACATGTGTGTTTGGAGGAGGCTTCGGACTGCCTGGTAAGGTAAGGTGCTGCTTTCTGCTTTTTAAAAGCTATTCTGGGTGGGGTTTTGCTGCATGATTTTGGGCTGGGTGGTGGGATTATGTTTCTGTGCTGTGATGGGTCTTGCAGGGTTTGTTTGCTTTCTGCTTTCCCTTTTGCCCATTTCCAATGGGTCTTGCATGGTTTATTTGCTTTCTGCTTTTTTTTTTATGGGGGGGGGTATTTCTGATGGGTCTTGCACGGTTTGTTTGCTTTTCGGGTTTTTTTCCAAGCCCGAACGGATTAATCGAGTTTCTGATCGGTCTTGCAATGTTTTTTTCGGGGCGTGTGTGATTTCTTTCTTCGGCCGGAACAGATTAATTGTATTTCAATGCATACCTATGGGAAATTGTGCTTCAACTTACAACCATTTCAAGTTATGATGGGAGTTCCAGAACCAATTAAGTTCGTAAGTCGAGGCACCACTGTATATACTAAAGCAGCTCTACACTAACTCACCTTATAACACATAGCCAATTATTTAGATCAGAACTACTACAACTCATTTTGGACTTTGACAAAAAATAAATATCCAGTAATTCTTTCTTTCCTTCCTTCCTTCTTTCTGATTGATTTATATTTATACCCCACCCATTTAAGTGAGCATGCGACTACTCTAGGTGGCTTACAAAATATTATAAAACATACAGCTAAAATATTAAATTCTTGAACTAACTGCAAACATTGGAATAAAACTCTGCTCTAAAATGAAACATCATCATGGAAAGCAATTAAAGGAACCAATACAGCAACAGAAATTAGTACGCACTTACTATTCAGGATCTGATACAAGGTCCAAAGCCTTCATTACATCTTCTAAAAGAGTATCTGGTATAAAACCATTATCTGGGAAGGGGGGGAAATACGTTAATTAGTATATACTAACAAACGCCCAAGCATTAAAATAGAAACTTTATACAAGTTGATTACTATTGGCACTTCCAATGACCTCATGCAGCACATTTCATTTTTCTTGGGTAATACACCTGTCTTGCTAATTTTTAGGGTACTGTGTGTTTAAACTATGCTACATGGGTCTGCTGTTGCAACACAGCCTCACTGTATGAAAATACTTGTCCTGATGTGTTGAAATAAGATTGTAGGCAAATCTAATAAAGAATAACTGAGCAGACATGTAGAACTGGAAAATTCAGTTGTACATCAGAATCACTGAAGTTGCATTTAAGATATACAACACCCTAAGAAACAAAAGCATATATCTATTTATTAGATTCTACTCAAACAATATATCCTTGTTTCGGAGGTTAAGTTATAAAGAACAATCATTTTCTTGCTTTGAAAAGGAAATTTTAGGTAATCATTGGAAAAATCTTTAATTAGTAACCATGTAGACAATACTGTTTTTTACCACTTAGCAACACAGTACAGGACCATAATACCAATAACAGGAGTAAGGATTGCTCAGTGTTACATAAACTCATTCCATCTCTTACCTTCAGGGTCATATGTTTGAAAGACACGTCTGGCTTGTTCTGAGGGAGCTTCAGGAGCAACAAGAGCCAAATCCTTAACAAAAAAAAAATCCATAAGATTAAGTACAGCATAAAAGCAACGTTTTAAAAGAATGAACTGTGGCAGCACCTCATATAAAGCTACAAGAAAAAATAAACCATGAGAATCGAACCAGAGTAAAGGACATTCTTTGAAGTAGACAGTCACACTAGTTCAGTGTGACCTTCTATTAAACATCATGCTAAACCAACGTTCCCTCTAATTTCTGCTACTGCTGCACAAGACTCCACCCCCACCATGCGGGGTTCCAGCTGCAACTGAAAACAAATGGGCAGCAACATCAATCTGGCTGTGTGGAATCAATGCACTGCTGCACAGGTGCACGGACACACACACAGCTTAGAAGGAACATTGCACCAAACCAACCAATTAAATAAATGGGTAGCAATCCTCCTCTAAAATAAGGTGTGAATCCTTTACTGTAGTTTTAGGGGTTGGGGGTAGGTTCACAAGACTTCTGGGTTTTTTTTTCAAGGGGCTGGTGTGGCTACAAGAAGGCCTGAAAAGGGGGGGGAGCAGCTCCCAAACCTAGCCTGCTTCTGCCTTGTTACTGTCTCCATCTGTCCACTATTGTTTTAATTCATTCTATTTGCCTGCTCTGTTTCCTAAACCCACTCTAATTTTAAGCTCTCAAAATGTCAGAGCTATTAAGAATTATTACTATAAAGGCCTACTGTGTATTTTACAAGGTAAGTTTTGCTCTGTTCAAGACCAAATCCTAGCTGGACACAGATTAAAGAAGAGAAAATTTGGAAGTTACTATTCCTTTAAGAAAAAATAAGTCCATACCACAAGTCTAGGGCAAAGAAAAAGCAGGCCAAGCTAGCTCTGTCCAAAGTGAACAGCCTTACTTCTCCTTGTCTTGTCATCTATTATTTTAGTTCTTGATCTGTTCACAAGTGGAGCAGCCGGCTTCTACCTTATGGCTGTCATATACTATGTTTGGTTTGCAGAAAGTCTTGTGTTTCCTACATCCTACTCAGCCAAGATTTGATTTCTGCAACTTGTAAAAAGCAAGCAATTCATTCACTTTGGGAAGCACTCCAAAAATGTATTTCACCAGCCAAAGCTCCATAATTTCTGCCAAACACAAGCATCCAAGACTTACAAATTGTCTAAAAACGTCCTGAATCTCTAACCTTCCATACAAGGAAATACTATTCATAAAGTATCAAGTACACAATGTCATAAAGGCAGAAAACAAAATAAAACATTCTTCACCTTTTGATGATATTTCTGATTTAAAACATTTAGATTCATTTTAAAAACCATTCTCTTTGACAATACATGTTTCTTTTAGGACCTCATGCTTACCCTTGAAGGCAAACACACACTATTATAACAAATATATCTCAGCTGTTTACATTCTTAAAAAATCAAAAACAGCACGTACAGTCCCTACAATAACTACAGTATTGACAAACCTTATGGGGTTTTAAAGAAAACAATACTGATTGTTTAAAAAAAAATAAATCAAAGTGAGACAAAACTGTGGACAATTCTTATTATAGCATTTGGGACGAAAAAATTCTTATACATTTTTGAAAGCTGCAGCTAAATACACCATTAGAATAATATGTTAGGCCAGAAACTAGCAAAACATTAAAAAAATTGAATCCAACCCAATACAGTCAAACATACATCAAATAAATATATATCAAATATTAAAACATGGCCCAAAAGAGACTAAACACTTATCTTAAAGAGTAGCTCCTGGCCCATTTTTATTGCATTTGTCTTACAGAGTTGCCCTCCTCTGAAATGTTCCATGGCAAATTCTTTTCTGAATGAGCAGAAGTTTCAGAACAATCTTATTTTGGCACATGGATATGTGTGCCAGCCATTCAAAAATCCAATGCATTACCACAAGAACCTTTCTGTATATGTTCAAATAATTCAAATAATTCTTCCAGCAACAACAAACAAAATCAAAGGATATTAGAACTATCATGCTGGAACACAGGCCTTTTAATGTAGTTTACCAACTGCATCTGTAAATAACAAAAGACACAGCATAACACTGTGGGAGCTATAATGATGGCAGTCAGATGTGGCCAAGTACTGTCTACTCTGTCTGTCAATAGCTTACTTTGCCCTCAACACCTGAGTTACAGTGTTTCAGCAATACAGTGGTGCCTTGTCTTATGAACATCTTGACCTACTAACGTTTTGAGTTACGAACAGCTCCGGATGCAGAATATTGCTTTGAGTTACGAACTGTGCTTTGACGTATGAACAAAAAAACCCCTTTCTTGCCCTTTTTTTGACCTAAGTTCATCTTAGGTCAAAAGAAGAAAAAAATTCTCCCCCTAGTGGTAGAGTATGGATTAATTGGCTTTGCATTAGTTCATATGGGAACTAACCAAAATGGCCGCCAGATCAGCAAAATGGCCGCGCGCAGCGTTTTCGCACCCTGCCCTCGCTTACCGGGCAGCGAAAATGGCGGCCGGATGGGGGAATCTTCACTTACCGGTGAGTTTTTCCCCCATAGGAACGCATTAAATGGCGAAAAAAACCATTAGGAATGCATTAAATGGAGTTTAATGCGTTCCTATGGGGTTTCCCCCCCACATAGCGACGAATCCGGATAGCGACGTTAATCCTGGAACGGATTAACATTGCTATGCGGGGCACTACTGTATTTAAACACAGGAAGCTGAGTCTTTTTGCATTAGAAAAGTATTTAAGAATTACATTCACTTGCAATTGTGGCAAACAAGATCAAGTTTTTAAAATGACCACAACTATATAACTTATATAGTTCTCAGAATATACTAGCATCTTAGAGCATCCAGACTATGATTTTCTATTTATATCTTTAAAGTAGCTCCTGTTCACTATAGAAAACAAGAAGCAAATACTGAAAATTTCAAATAATTACTGAAGTTGTAAAGATATCACTGAATCCGTTTTTGCTAGCTAAAATGTTCTACACTGCACTCCATACATGTACAATAAGTTGTGAGCTCTCTGCATATGTGGTTCCTTTGTATTCATGGATGATTTGGGAATTCAAATTGCTTCTCAAACACTAACTGCAAATCCATAAACCAACTAGATAAATGTCACTCTACATCATGTGTGGAGGAAACGACTTAGGCTAGAGAGACAATAGCTGGACCATGTCCATGTAGAGAGTTGACAGCCGGGGTATGAATAAGTGTGTCTTAGCCAAACTTTTAGCACGTTTTCCCACACCAGATCAGCACTAGTACAAAGGCCAATGCCTGCCACAGATTAGATAGAACAAACTTCACAGCAAGGAGGGGGGGGTACTCATTCAAAGAAATACGTGGATTGGGTCCTTCATCTTTAAGAGCATTTTAATCTTAAATTATGATGTTAAATAAAACTGCATACTGTATTTCTCGACTACAAATCACCATTGTTGTTTAGATATATATTGTGCAATATCTGGTGTAAAAACGGCATTTATAACTAGTGAATCAATAAACCCTTCACTAGTAAGACTAAGTTTTTAAATTGTTCTTGCAGGAAAACTGCTATCTTAAGAGAGCTACAAAAATAGTGTTATTTATATAAGGTTATCTATCTCAACACAAGGAGACAATGAAGGGAATGTAAACCTCATTTCTCACCATTTCAAAAGACAGCATGAAATGCATTTGCAAGGATATTAATTAGTAGACAATGAAATTGGATGCTGCATACCACATAACATGCAATGTTCATGGGCAGTCAACAGCTGCCACATGCATTATTGTTAGCTGGATTATCAAATAGCTTACAGGAAACAGACAGACTCAGTAAGCTTCTGTCATCCATGTAATTTGTGTCACTGTTCACAGAAGTTCAACAATATATTAGTCAGATGTTAAAAGAGTTAAAAGTCAGCAGGAAGCCATGGAGCAAGCTTCACAAATCTAGTGGAATATCTAAAAGGTAATACCTCCCTCCCAGCTGAGCAAGTACAGGAAGACTGAAAGTATCATTTGATATTAGTTACAAGCTGCAGCAGGTTCCTATACTTTATTAGACCCTGTATGAGATCACACTCATATTAGCTTCTTATGTGGGTGGTAGCTGGGAAAGAGGTTGATTGATCTTTTTTAGTATTTGTATATTTGTGGGAAGCTCCTGCCCAAGGCCGTTAGTTGTTATCTGTTACAGTGAGAACAAACACTCCTGGCACAAAAGCAGCAGCTCCCAGGGGGCGGAATGACCCCTCATTCTGCCTTTTCCCTTAAGAGTTAGGGCATAGGTTCAAAGACTTTCTCCGGCCAATCCTAGTGGTGATTAGGTAACCAATATCCTATCTGAATTCTCACAACATTCTGTGTAATCATGCCAAGTTAATAAGAAGAGTTCTCAAGGTGTTGCTTTTAAGCTCCGCTGGCTTGGACATCTGTGGTCGACTTCTCTGTACTTTCTCTAAGGTTAATAGCCTTTCTTTGCTCTGCGATCACCTACATCTATTCACTGTTATTAGATTTAATATTGTCTTTTGATGATACCTTGGGTCCTTTTAAGGAGAAAGGCAGGGTAAAAATATTGTAAATAAATAAGCAATTTAATACCTGAGGAAAGCTCATTCTTTAGATAGTGACCACAAGTAATGAATATAGAAACCAAGAACATTGTTTCATTGCTGAATGAAACTGTCTTTGGAAGACTGCACCATAAAATTTCTCCACTGCTTCTTATTTAAGCTCAAATTATGATTTAGTGTTAGCTCCCATGTATTATTAAATAATCATTGAACTGTTGGCTAGGCATTTGCCTAATTATGTATTTTAACACCACAAATAAAACCTGTTTTAAAAACTGTATTTGCACTTCCTGTCACTTATTTGTTTTCAAAATGTCTACGCTGCATGCCTTTCACCTAAGAAGCTTCTAGAGCAGTGAACAATATTAAAGAAAATTATGTTACATTAGACAGAAAATTAATCAACAAATAATGAGTAATGATAAAGAATGTAAGAATTTCAAATCCTCAGCTTTCATTATTCCTGTTAGGAAATACAAGGAAACACCTTGTAAAATTAAGATTGAGAAAATTAATTTATCTTGAATTACAACTCCACTGTTCTTCATACTTGTTGAATATTTGCATTTCAAGCTTATTACTATCTACAACTATGTGAAAAGCAAAACATTTGGTTGTTATTCCATGTGGAACTTCTACAAATTGAAAAGAAAACAGATGGAAAATAGATTCCCCCTCCCCCAAGAAAATAAATGGTTCAGTCAGCTCGGGGCATATACAATTACATTTTTTGTGCTTTATATTCAGCCATGAACAGTCTTTCAGGCTATGAAATTTAGAGCCCAAATACTAACAAACTGGGGGGAAAGTGGTGCAATAAGTTAAATAGAAATGATATTGCTTCACTTGCTGACCTAGTTTCCTTTTAAAGGAAATTCAACTTACTTAATATACAAAGTTGTAACTTACAAGTAAAAACAAATCAGCATTATCACAATAATGTTTTGCATACTCACAACACTGTTATTAAATCTTTAGTGAGGCCTGAGAATGCAAATCCACTTTGGGCATTTGGACAAACAGTTGGAAAGCCTTCTGCCCCCCCTGGAAGTTTGAGTTTACCCTCAGGCCATGTTAGCTAATTCCTTCTTGAGTAATATTTACATCATGGATTAATATCATCTTGAAATGTCCCAGTCTCTCTTTACATACTCATCCCCCCTGTTCTCATATCATTCCATCCTTTCACCTTATTCACCCACAGCTATCATTAAAGTCGTTCTTGCAATTTAACACCCATCCAACAATGGAAGATGATGGTGGGCAAGACAGAGGTGACCTGATAGAAGTCAAGATAAGTTTTAAATAATGTTGGGCATCAGGAACATTCCAAACCTCCTTTGTTTTACAAATCAATGCACTACAAGCAGCAGCAACATTCATATTCCTTGTTGTGATTCATACTAACTGGGATCAGTTGAAGAACAATCCACTGTCCCAACAGTTAAAAAATGGACTACAGCATTTGATACTTGACGTTGCACAAATATCCATGTACAATAATGGCTTTATCCGAGCAAAAATATAAGGAGTCTTTGAGAATTGATTCCTAGCCATACAGAAGAACAAGTAGATTCTAAGATGAGTCTCAAAATCTTTTGGCTTGTAATAAGCCAGGAGTTTAAGTCATCCTGTAAAAACCCTGTACATTTTCTTACAACTTGCAGTGATAACAAAATGGTACTGAAGGTTTTAAAACATCTTGCTAACAGAATTATACTCTATAAAAGATCTGAACCATAAGACTTAAATGGGATTTGACCCAGAGTAATGAAATAAAAAGAAAACAATCGTACTTTGGCAAAGAAGACTGTAAGATGAGTTTCACTGCCAAGAATCCAAATAGGGAACTTTGGGGACTTCAAGTAGGAGCCAACCTTTAAAAAAAGAGAGACAATAATAGAAAGTACTGTTTGGTGAGTTCATAATGTAAATCCTGCCTGCAGTATTCTGCACCACATCATCCGGAGAAAAAACGAAACAGTTTTAAACTAGTTTTTAATTGTTTTAGAACAACAATAACTATTGAAAAAGGTCTGAAAGTCTTAAAGCAACCCAAACAATTTAGCAAACAGGCTTTTACACAGAGTAAATCGGATTTATTCTGCATCAGCAGAGCACTGATAATATTGGACTGATACATAATGAGAAAATCAGTAAAGCTCCCGTTCTCTTATTAGATGCTAAAAAGGCCTCTGACAATAAGTTGGTTCTTATTTTTGGGGAAACAGGGTAATAAAAATATAAATAATTAGAATATAAATAATTTTATAGAATATAAATTAGAATATATTGTTTTTATAGAGGCAAAAGAGCTAGACACACATGACATGCACACAAAACAGGCCAGCTCACCTTCTCATGTGGATTGATCTGTTAACTTATTGCTCTTTGTTGTGTATGTTACTTTGGAGGACTGTAATTGTTACTGTTGTTTTTTTATAGTGTATTCTTATTTATTTTTTAAAAAGGGCAGATTTACATATATACATACACTGTAGTTGCTGTTACTATTTCTAGATGCCTGATGACTTCTATTAGTTCTGTGGTTTGTAACATTATCGTTTCTTCTGTTCATAATACTGTGAGCTATCTTCAAAGAACTGTTTTGCAAAGGCAGCGCCTTTTAAACAATAGTCAGGACAATAAAATAAGCTTTAATGTGATTTTGAGAAATCACTATAAATACATATGCTTCATTTTTGGATACAACAATTCAAAGATATACCATGCTTTCAAAAAAAAAATAAAAAAGCATGATCAATCCCACATTTCAAATGAGAAAATTTTTACAGCTTACCTTACAGTACCTCAGTGACTCCATAAGTGTCAGAAAACCAACAGTTGCTTGTTTATGTATTCCAAGCAGTTCTGAAAAGAAACAAATCCTGTGTGTTAAACCAGTCACAAAGTTTTATTCATATTCCCTTTCTTGCCAAAAACATGCCATAACACTGACGGACAAATTAAGAAACAAAGCAAATTAAGAACAGAGAAATAAGATGTGTACTATAAATATGTGAGGATAAGTAATGCTAATGAGAGAACATTTAATGTCAGAGAATAAGTTCTGTGTTTTGTTTAAAGGCTTTTATTTTTAACAAAGCATATGAAGTCAAATATAATGCAAATTATCCAACAGAAACAATGCTGGCAAAGATACTGAACTATGGCATTGTTCTTTCCATATCTGATTTATCCTCTGCACGGAATATGCATTTAAGGATGAGCTCTTCATTTTTCCAGAAACTTGTCTTCGAAAGGGGCCCTTTTGATGACCAAAAATGCAGGATTAGTGCAAATTTTTATAGACAACTCACAGAACATGCTGCAAACAAATTGAAGAATTAGAGTTTGAACTGCTAAAGATCTGAATGCTTTAACTCTAGGCAAACGTCTCAAGAATATTTGTAAAATATGTGTGAGGGTTTTTGTTCTGTTTTGCTTTTTAGCATTCTACAATGGATATGTATGTATAGATGATGAAATACATTGCCTGGTACAAACCACTGCAACAAAAATATACCGAGCAGCAGTCTCAGAAACTCCAGAAGAGGACCAGAATAGGTATGTTAAGCACATTTATTACCAGTACATAACTCCATGAGTGTCTCAGAATATTAAATACAAAGCCAAAAGTATTTTGAAGCTTGTGGTATTAGCTCAGTCCCTGTTCAAAAGGAGGAAGAGGTAGGGGCATCCTAATTTTTTTTTAAAAAAGGAAAGCAGAATAAAGTGCCAGGAAAGTAATTTTGCAGATGAGCCTGTCTGGAGCAAAAAGGTCACTTGGCAGGCAAAGGATTAAGCATTCCCCCTCCAAGTGCTCCTCAGTGATCTTTAGGGCTCTGCCACAGGCACTTGTATGCAAGATGCATTCTGAATACCCAAGGAATACATTATTGTGTTATGTCCAGGCTGCATCTGATGGAGATATCTTCATAAGAAAAGTGAATATGGCCATGCATTCTATATTAATTCCTGTCACACTAGAGAATCCTATAGAACTCTTTTCCTAGAAGGCACAACAGACAACATTGCTATACTTTTAATTTCCCAATCTTGAGTCTGTGATTCACTCACAGCAATATTGCTATATATGGTAATGTATGAGACACAAATACTCAGGATAAAAAATGGAAAAAATCATGGCACAGAGATGAATTTATTAAGCAGTTGGCACACATTCTTTTTTCATTTTGATAATGTCACAAGTCTAGATCCAAGAAGAGATTCTGCCAGGTTGCCTACGTGTACTACATTAAAAGTGGTAGAATATACCAGATGGGCGGGATATAAACCGAATGTATGAATGAATGAATGAATGAATGCATGAATAAATAATCCTATGTGTACTACATTAAAACTAGCAGCCTTCTTATTGAAATTACCTCTGAAAGTGAAACAAACATATTCACCTGCTTGTCTCATTCTAACTCTCATGCAGTTTTACATTCCTCCTAGGTTTGCACAGTTTCCTCAATTATTCTCTTTCCTTAGGGCCTACTGCCATCTTGTGGCAAACCAAAGCATGCAAGCTTACTTATTTAAAGAATGTTGAGATCACCAAAAAGTGGATTTCAGGAAAATATACACACAGTAAAATGATCAATAAAACAGAAAAAATGAAAGAATTGTGCCAATATATTCTGGCTTCTACTTTCTTCAATTGTTTTAAATAAAGATGTTTGGTGTCCAGTGTGAAACTAAGCATGCACACTACTCCAATGTGAATGGAAGATATGACATGTCGTCCTCCAGGTTGAGGCCATGAAGTGTTAAGTATACCAAGTACACCAAGCCGCTCAGAGTGGTCACATAGACCAGATGGACGGGGGGTGGACTGGATGACCCCTATGGTCCCTTCCAGTTCTGCAGCTCTAAGATTCTACGAACAAAGAGGTAGCACATGCAGGTTCACCCATGAAAAGGTGAAAAGCTGTAAAAAAATGCTGGTGGTTAGCCATTTTTACTCACCTTGGGAGCTTCTCCCCAGTTCTGCCCTCTGCACACCCCTTCCCCAGAGACAGTGCCTGTCCCCCTCCCCTCCCCGGATTTGAACCCGAGGTCGTGAGCACAGTTTTAGCTGCAGTACAGCGTTTTAACCACTGCGTGACGAGGCATAGACCAGATGGGCGGGATACAAATCAAATCAAATCAAATCAAATCAAATCAAATAAATAAATCTGTAAATCTAGTTGTTCTCCTTTTCCTCCCCTAATGTGTTTACATCTGATGGTATTTCTATCCCAATAACCAGCAAATTAGGTACTGTAAATCACAGTATTCCAAATTAAAATAGCTGAGCAGCAGTGGTTCTAATTTCCCACTCAAGATTTCAGTCTGATTTCTGAAGCATGTACACAGGCCAGTTGTTCTACCTGCATATTAAAACAGCACCCTGGCTATCTACACTTAGTGACATAATTTAGACTGTAGGACATGCAGGTGATACTGTATTCAATTATAGTACATCCTGCCAAGCACAAGACTCTTAGCTCTTACAAATAAATGACCAGAAATCAGACTGGAGGGCAGCTCTTATAAATTTCAGACTCCACATCAAGCATGATAACACAAAAGAGTTACATATGAAGAGAACAATCATAAATAGGCATGAAAAGAACCAAGTATTGCTAAAAAAAAAACCCACAGTTCAAATTTATAGAAGGTATTTAGTATTAAAATTCAAAACAGTTAAACAAATATTATAAATTCCTCATATCATATTATAGCAAGAAAAATTAAACACAAACTTACTCATTCCTGAGCATTCTCTGTCTCCATCCCAGACGTTAGATACTGCATGCCCCGTCAACAAGAGGTTAATTAAGCTTTGACTTAACAGGAAGAAGAGAAGATTTTAGATTTGCAAACATGTTATGATTTTATCTCTTTCTAAACTGAGAATTCAAATGGCACCCTCACCAGTTTTTTTTAGAAGTATATCAGATACTGTAAACTGAACATGCACTAAGACAAACTTTTGAGCTTATCGAATCTAAAAGAATATCAACAATACAAGTGATCTGGTTAGCAATCTCAAGAAATGATATGAATGATGATATGAATGATGACCTTCATGCATTTGCTGTCAATTTCTTTATAGTTTATTATTGCAAATACTGTACTTCAGAAGTATGTTTTAATTAAAGAACAGTCACTGTTTCAACAGAAGCACCAAAGTAACCAGATCTTACCTTCCATGACCATACACTGGATCTATCAATGGCTCTGTTGAATCTTCTATTTCATTTTTTATATTTTCAATGCCCTAAAAAATGGCAACATTTTATGCTACAGTTACAGCAACCTTCTCATGAGTCATGAAATGTTAAAACAAATAAATACCTCTTAAATTTCTACCATAAATGTAAATATTAAAAACTAGCTCTCAGTTTGACTAATTTGTTCCAATAGGGAAAATAACCCAAGTGACTAAAACACCGTGGCACTTTAAAAATAAACTGCTATATTTTAATATGAAGTAAAGGTTCCCCTTGACAATTTTTTTTTGTCCGGTCGTGTTCGACTCTAGGGGGCGGTGCTCATCCCTGTTTCCAAGCCATAGAGCCAGCGTTTTGTCTGAAGACAATCTTCCGTGGTCACATGGCCAGTGTGACTTAGACACGGAATGCTGTTACCTTCCCGCCGAGGTGGTCCCTATTTATCTACTTGCATTTGCATGCTTTTGAACCGCTAGGTTGGCGAGAGCTGGGACAAGTGACGGGCACTCACTCCGTCGCGTGGATTTGATCTTACGACTGCTGGTCTTCTGACCATGCAGTACAGGCTTCTGCGGTTTAGCCTGCAGCGCCCCCACGTCCCTATTAATATGAAGTACATTTACTTAAATAGTGAATTATTTTAAATCAGTAATTTAAAAAATAAAAATGATTGAAATCCTCATTTAAATAGATTTCAACATATACCTATCTCAGATTGCCCGTGTCCATGTAATGATGGCCAAGTGGAAACTGTAGGTCATGTCTTACTGTACTGTCTTTTCTATAGAGATCTATGCACCAACCTCCTGAGCCCAATCATTCTCAGATATCCAGGGAGACCTGATGAATTTTACATCAAGCTACTTCTTTCTGATCAAGACTTCCTTATTACATGCTCTGCAGCAATTTTTTGTGCAGCAGCAATGGCACAACACTCCCTTATAGTCTCCTGAGTTCACAGGTTGACTGGGTTTAGCATGAGGGTTGTTTATTGTTGAGCGTAGAGAAAGGTGATCCCAACAGTAGTGAGGAAATGTTTACAAATCTTTACAAATATGTAGGAAGGACTCCCTATAACCCAAAGACCCTGTCCAAACCAGTTTGCCCTAGATGATCCAATGGTTCAAAGGATAGCTATTAAAATGCTGTATTTGATTCCCCCCAAATTTTACAAGCAGTACACAATTAATCATCTGTTGTACACTTTTTAAATTGCATTTTGTATATTTTAGCCACATAATATGTTTCATGAATTGGCTGTATATTTTTAAACTGCATTTTGTATATTTTAGCCATAAATATGTTTTATGAGCTGGTCACCCAACTGTAATAAATAAATTCGTTCATTTATTCAAATAAAATCTATTTTTAATATTTTAAATTGTAAAATAAAATCCAATTTAAAAAAAAATTAAATTGTGATTTAACCCACCCAATAGAAGACCGATAACTTCAGGTCACCATCATTTCAAGAAACGGAAAACCGTAAGATAAAGTGTTATTCTTCTTGCAAGTAGACTGAGCAACCTCCACCTGAAATGCCGTCTACCCTTCCTTTCATACCTAGTACAGCTCTCACCACACAAGTTTATAAAGTAAACCTTACCTTACCTTTCCAAATCCTCATTCTACATGCTTAACATATAGGTTAAATGAGTACTTTAAATTAGTTAAAAACACACACCTTGGTCAGTATCACAGAATACAGAAAAAGCAACACGCCAAATTTGTTTGTCCAGACCGAAAAGTGATTCCACACTGCCTCTTTGAAATCAGGAAAACTTGTGAATGACTGCTTGCTGCAGATTTAAAAAAATAACAATTAGATTTTGTACTGGCCTTTGTTTGTAATTTTAGAGTCTGATTTTGTATTTGTAGTTGACTAAGAACAAAATGGAGCATAATGCAAAGTGTTTGTAATTTAACAGCAGCAAATGCCTACACAGAGAAAAATAAGTTATAGCATGTACACAGCACTAATGGTGTCAGTGTGGCAGCATGTGCCAGAACTATAGAAGCTTGACTTGAGATTTCTCACTTGAAAACACCTCACAATGCCACAGTCACTAAAGACCTGCAGTTCTTTTAGGGCACATATAATAACCACTTTAAATTTTGTTTTTAGTAATAAATGCATAACATGCAACTAATTCATTTCCTTTTATAAATGTTTTAAATTATCAAAAAGCTAACAAAGTTAGTGTAAAAAAAATGAGCAAGCACAATGATGGCCAATTCAGAAAACTGTGCATGTACTCCTGTACTCACATAATGAAGCCTCATCCCACATATGTTTACTTTTGCAATGTAATTTCAGGTACCCCATCAGCACAACCCCAGCTATTGCTACTAAGAATTTTCACTCAGAAGGCTGTTACAGCACAGGTCACTTAGTAATAAGCCTCACTCTCAAGGGGTGCATCACTGGCCACTAGACATACATACCTGTCCATCCAATTCCAAGTCAGCTTCTGAGCATCAGAAACAAAAAAAATCTGATTGTAGAAATGTTTCTACACAGACAGCCCAACTGTGGCGATTGCTAAATTGTGAACTTGTCTAAATATGTGTCACACAAAGAACAGCTTTATATTCAGGGCTACCTTAAGTGCTCAACTATGGGTAATGAAACCACCCCCAACCCTCATTTGTAAAGAATCTGTTAAAATATAGTTTGGAATAGCTATCACATTTGCTTCCAAACCTAACTTGCTTATGTATTCATAAGCAGGTTTTTTTCTGGTCTTTGACCGTAATAAACTGTTCATTCATAAGCAGGTTTCAACTCTGGTGTTCAATCACATGGAGTTGAACAGTATTAGGCTCACAGCTTAAATAAAATTTTGTTTACTGGGACTAGATAGTGTATTTAAGTGTTCCAACATGTTACTTACTGAATTAATGCATGAAATCGCTCAAAGCCAAGCTCTTCGACAGCCAAGGCAGCTATACACAAGAGACACTTTTCAGCACTACACATGGCAAAAAGTGACACAAGAAACACACAGCAAGCTAGAATACTTTCAAGCCTTTCATAATTTAAGCCCTTCCCCCACCCTCTTTCGGACCATCTTAGACTTGCATAGTTACATGGCACAAACCAGTTTAAAGCAAACCATCTAAATCTCCACTTTACAGGGAACTGGATGCACAAAGCCATTAGACAAAATACTGCCAAGGCTAGCAAAACCATTGCAGTTTAATAGCCTTTAACAGTTCCAGGGGCAGCTTTGAGTACAATGACTGCAGGGAAATCGCCAACTGCAAGCATACAGAACACAGGTCTGCTAGTTGAGCAGATTTTCTGAAAAGATAAATAAGCATGGATACCCAGATTTCAGAGCAAAACTAGGGATAAAAGGCTGTATTTTCTCTATTTTCATTCACTTTCTTTCAAATATTGTGCTGCAAAAGAATTAGAACCACATATTTTAAAGTAATGCATTTTCTCATTTTTTAAAAAAACTATCCAACTTAATATTAGATAACCTAACAGTAGAAAAAAAAATACAGCACCTAGTGCCTTCCCAGGTTCAGACTTTATATCACCTTTCCTCACTCCTTTGAAAGATAAATTGAAATGAGGTTTTTCTACAGAGGACTGAAGTAAAAAGTTACTACTGTGACTACAGGGTATATACATGAATGGGTTCGGCATAATTTAATTTAAAAATCAGTTTTAAATGTTGTGAAGTTGAGCTAGCCATCCATAACATATTTAAGAACTAAAGATAAAAAGAGAAGTCCCCAAAATTACTGTACAAGCAACCTTTGTAAGCAGAACTGTTAACACTGATAAAATAGGAAAAGACATATAGGAGTTTTTGCGTTTCCAATTACAGTAAGAAAAAGGTAATACTTATGTTTGTCATATGCCTCTGTCATATGAATTTGACTTTTAGCAACCCTAATACAGTGGGGTCTTGACTTGAGAACTTAATCCGTATTGGAAGGCGGTTCTCGAGTCAAAAAGTCTGTAAGTCAAGTCTCCATTGACCTACAGTGCATTGAAAACCGATTAATCTGACTTTTAGCAACCCTAATAACCCTAATAGGGTTTTCAAAGCAAGCGAGATATTTAATGAGCAGATTTACCCATGCCACCCCCATGAGTTTCCATGGCTGAGTGAAGATATAGGGTTTTCAAAGTAAGCAAGATATTTAATGAGCAGTTTTACCCATGCCACCCTCATGAGTTTCCATGGCTGAGTGAAGATCTGAACAAAGGTCTTGAGTCCAAGTCCATCACTGTATCCATTACACCACATTGGGTAAGGTACCACTATAGAAGTTATGCCTATGATCAAATAAACAAATTGTTGAAGGAATAATGATATAAAAAAATCTGAACCTGTGAACTTGCACTATTATAACCAAAAGAATGGCAACAAGTCATACATGTACACCACATAAAGCAGATGAAACGAGGAGACTTTGTATTGGCAATCTGTGTATCAATGATGGTTGCCAATTTTGCAGACATTTTGTACTGGGTGGGAGAGCAGAAGATGGAATTATGAACAGAGGAACACAAACACTATTGAAAGAAACATCTTCTGAAAAACAGGAGAGTATTAAGTCTGATCCACTAGTTAATAGATAAAGAATATGAAACCTTTATTTTGTAGTCAAATGTGTATCAAAAAGATGATTTACCCAAAGTCTCAGCTCTCTTGTTTACATCTACCAATATAAAATACTAACACATTTTATAGTTCTTGAATTAAATGCTGAGAAAAATAAGAAAAATTGTCACTGATTTTCCAGCTAATTCTTTTTCTTTGTCCTTTTAAGAAAAAAAAATTGTAAGTCATTTTTATATTGTATTTAGAATACTGTCCTTTTAATTTATAAGCATAATCAAATTAGCTGGCATGCAGGAGGGAATGTGAAGAGCAAGGGTAAAACCACAAGTTTTGCTCTCTTGCAAGCACTCCTCATGGGGTGCTGTTTTAAAAGATTTCCAATCCTTCAGTAACTCTAGGGAGATGTGGTAGATTGCCATCAACAGAGGAGCTGAAAAATCCCAGTGTGGCATATATTAAGTGGTGATTTGAAATGCTAGGAACCAATTTCAATCTGTACTTTACTAAATGGTCACAACATCTTACATATTCATGCTTCACATTATAGCAAGGAGAAAATAGGGGTTTCCAAATTAGTACATGCTTGGGAAAAAAAAGACATACTGTATTTGAGAATCAAATATAAATAATGTACCAGACCAGCAAAATGTTGGCAAACAACATAGTATTAATATATAAAATAAAAAAGATTTTCCAGATGTGCATTGTCTTCACAAATTATAAGAAACAGAATTTCAATATTACATCCCATTTTACGACTCATGGCCAATGTTGGTAGATTGAAATGTCGTGCAATCAGAAACTCAAATTAAGGCTCTTAAAGGTCAATTTTATGGCAAGAAATACCTAGCAGGGTGAAGGAGGATCACAAAGTAAATTTGGTGAGCTGATACAACAACAGCAATCATTTTGAAATTCCTACCCCTTTATATTTTATTCATATATGGAAGATTCTGTAATTAGAAAAAACAGGGAGTCCATGACTCCCCATGTCAAGTATCTCCCCACACATTGAACAAGAACATCTAAAGAAAGGAAGCATATATATATAGATATCCTTACTTCAGAGATTCATGATCTAAATACTTAACACAACCAATGGCTATACTCACAATAATGTAAGGTATCTAGCTTTCCCTATTGCTTTGACAGATTTTAGAATACTAGTCACTCAATACTTCCCTGTTACTCAAACCTTCATAGTACAAAAATATTTTAGGTTTCCACTTGTCAAAACAGGATGGGAAATATGCAGCTCCAAAATGCTTTTTCGGCAAAAAAAAAAAAAAAGAGTAAGAATTGGGGGGGGGAGTTCGAGGTTGTGGGAGCAGTTGTGACGCTCCAAGGTCTAAAAATGGGTGTTTGAATCCTCCAGACGTTGGAGACTGGCCAGTATTTTTTAACACTCTAGTTCTATAAATACATACTGGGGAGTAAGCCCCACTGCACTTTAAGAGAGCCTTAGCTGAGAATAAGTAAGCATTAAATAGGGCTACATGCACAACCTAATTTATGAACTATAACACTAATGGAAAACCAACATAGAATTTACTATGCTCTAAGATTCGGTGAACTATATTTCACATATTAGTTAGGCTTTCAAAGCCATGTGCTAAAAGAGTGCAACCAATTCAAAACTGTGGTCACGTGTTTCTTCCTAATATATTTTGAGTTGCAATGGAATGACCAGACACATAATTTGTATCACAACATTTCTGTTTCCACTTCCAACAACCTATGCATCTGTACTTAAAAAGATAATTCTATGTTTAACAGCCAAGAACATTCTACAATATAGCCCTCAGAGTTCAATTATTCAACAGGGATTCAAGAAACGAAAATATGCTCTTGCATCTCAACTGGTCAATTTTCCCAGTTTAAATTATTAGCATTCCCAATGAAGACCAGCAGCTACTTAGAGAAAAACGTTAGTTGTTTCATGCACATATTACTTTAATACAGCCTATACATACTACATTCCTATAGGGTTTTTAAACTATCCAGCACATAAGTTAATGGAAGTAGGCTGCTAATGGGAATTATACAGAAAATATCATTAACTTGGGACTGGAATGTTAAAGGATCTAAAAATTACAGAGGCAAATTCTTCCACAATGGACATTTTTCTCTGAGACAACTTTGTAATTAATATGGTACTCTGTAATTAATATGGCTTAGTCTATTAATTTTTAACTCAGGCTGTACACATACTCTTAAAGGCCCAAGACAGATGCCCAATACTCATGTTATTATTAAACATATGATCATTCCAATGCAATTAAATTAAGGGATGATGAAAAGTTCAAATTAGAATATGCCAAGATCAAGCTTAACATGGCACACCCATATGCATAAGATACTACTGTAGTGGTGTGAAGGTAGTAGATCATTGTATCGCTCTATGTTTATCAGAAATTACTCATGATAATTTTCAGAAGAGGCATTTAATCAGGCTTCACAATACAGTGGTGCCTCGCAAGACGAATGCCTCGTGGGACGAAAAAACCACAAGACGATTGTTTTTTGCGATTGCTATGGTGCCTCGCAAAACGATTTCTTCTATGGCTGTGCTTCGCAAGACTTTTTTTAAAAGCCGATGCCTTGCAAGACGAAAAAATTCATTAAAAAGCTGATGCCTCGCAAGATGAAAAAAATGCATTTGTCTTGCAAGGTTCCCATAGATGACTTTTTCGCAAGACAGCACTTCTCGCAGAATGAATTACATTCGTCTTGCGAGGCACCACTGTATTCTCCTACCACAAGGTGTTGTAAGTCAAAAAGAACAGTATTTTGATCTGCACCCACATATTAATAAAGCATCTTTAGCTGAGGGAGAAGTTTCTCACTGTCTTGTTGTATTTGTTTATTAGGAGAGAAACATTTCAACAATACCAGATTAACATAAAACTGATTCAAGAGTGATTAAATTGTCTTGGGGGAAAAAACTCTTCCCTTCTCCTTGTTTATTCTGCATGACTCAGAGATACCATTCTGCAGAATAAACAAGACTGCAGAACTGAAGAGTGGACAAATATAAAGGAAATTAACCATGGACTGTAAAATAGGACTGCAAGTTATCTGCAAATTGGTCACCTATGGTACTTTTAAACAAAATATATTTTCACCTGTAAACAGATTAGTTAGTTCAATGGAGTGAAGCCTAATTAGGTTTTCATAGACATAAGAGCTTCCTCCTTTCATGGACAGGAACTGCATTCAGCTGGCAGAAGAGGGGTGTGAAGTAATGTTTGTTGAGTGCATCCTCTACTGCCAGTATTCCAAAGGATGCCCTATCTTCTGAAGTACATTTTCTGAGGATATACAGGAAACTAGGAAGCCAGAGAAAGATGCCTTTCTCTTCAATGTGGTGGAAATGTCCTATGAAGAGCACTCAATTCAGGGGATGCACCTGCCAGTGTAAGTAGCAGGGTGGATAAAAATCAATGATTTTTAAAAATCAAATCATGATCTAAATAAAAATTGGATTTTTGGATTTAAATAGTCAAAAAAATCTGATTCTTTTGATTTAAAACAAATCCACCCTGATAAGATACAATGCCAGCTTCCAAGCTTTAATCAATATTTAACAAATTGAAATAAATCCACAGATGAGTTTTTAAGCTACACATACGTATCACAGCAACACAAACATATTGCAGCTACTGCCATTCTGAAAGGCACCTTGTTGCATTGGGGTGAGGGAATATCAGGGTATTTCTTCTAAGATCGTGTTTGCCACTTACAGCCTTTGTAGAATGTTACAAAGTTGCAATTGGGCAACTTGTAACCTAAACATTGCAATTCTCATCTTTAATAGCTATAGTGGCCTGGGACCATAAAATGGGATGCAACATTATTCCTAAGAACCTGGGTGGGTGGGGATGCTCTTTCACATTTTTGGACTACAACTCTCAGAATTCTCCAAGAATTTCCTGCCCAGAATTCAGGGAGTTGCAGCGCACAAACATAAGGCTTTTGGGGTTATTTGCCTCCCATGCTGCCAAACTTCCACCATTAGTTGCGAAGCGCACAAACATAAGGCTTTTTGGGTTATTTGCCTCCCATGCTACCAAACTTCCATTAGTTGCTTTCTGCTATTTNGAGTTCTTCAGTCTTCAGGAGGTACCCTTTACAGAGCCCAACAGGCAGGGAGACTACAACTACCAGTGTCCTTGGCACCCAGAAGAGCCCAGACCCCAATAATCAGCCAACCACCACTGCTATCACTGATGATCGGCCAGTAGGGGCCAAGTGCTCTCAGATGCAGAGGATGCTGGGAATCACATCCTAATTTTTCATTAGACTCTATAAAGCAGTGGTCCCCAGCCTTGGGCCTCCAGATGTTCTTAGACTTCAACTCCCAGAAATCCTGGCTAGCAGAGGGGGTGCTGAAGGCTTCTGGGAGTTGTAATCCAAGAACATCTGGAGGCCCAAGGTTGGGGATCACTGCTATAAAGGACATCTCCCCAAGAACTGGCTCCTGGAAAGCACCAGGGCAACTTCCTTTTTCAAAAAAATAACAGAAGGCACCCAATAGAGGATGTGCTGCGGTGTCAGAGGAAAATAATCCAGAAGTCCTTATCTAGCAGGATGAAATCTAAAGGTCTAAAGAGTTGTGTCTGCATGCTGCAACTGCCTGAATTCTCATCTGGGGAATTCTGGGAGAATTCTAGGGAATGCAGCCCCAAAACATCAAAGAGCACACCTCTATTAAAAACACTTGTCAGTTACTTTAGATCCACAGACCTTAACTGAGTTTTGGAAGCATAAAGCCTACATATACCAGGACACTGGGCAGACCATTAGCTGCAGTACAGTTAGAAAGAGTAAGATTTTTGAAGAAGAAATCTTGCAGAAGCACAGGAGCCTCACTTGGAATTATGTTACACAAGACATATCTTACAGGGCTGCTCCTCCTGATGGCTTGACTCAGCTGGACTCTCAGAAATACTAGCACTTTCTTCTGCAGTCTTTCTTTTTTGCCAAGTTGCCAAACAGTAAGATTCTGAATGATCAGAGCAAGCCATTTCCAAAATTTCTGTTAACGTATGGCAAAGGAGATTCTTCTGCTCTTCCTCTGAAATAGTGAAATAGAGAACAAATACAATTTTTGACAGATAACGTCTACAAAAAAATCTAGCAAGGTACATTATACTATATAAACCAGTAGTCTACTTAATCATTCTAAGGTTTAAGACAATTCAGGAGGAGGACTGGCAACCTGAAATCTCTAGTTCAAGCCCATAACTTTGGAGCTAACAAGCAACTTAGTTCTCTACTTAATTTAAACAGCAAGCTGTGGAAGAGAACGAAATCAGTGAGGCATGAAGTCTTGGCTCTTTCAGCCCTCCATTTCTCACCAGCCAAATTCAAACATTACTTCTAAATGGATCATCATTTAGAGCAGGCAATCACCTATTTAAAAAGTGGTCAGATTTTGGAAGTCTCCAGGAGTGCAATAAACTTTCTTGTGCAAAATCCTTTTACTACATTGGAGCCCCAGCCATAAACACAACCTGGGGAAGTCACATGTGAGGCCAAACGTCACCTAACCTGAAACTCTGGGCAACCACCCATCTGACCGCCAAGGCAACTGTCCAGATCGGTCTTGGCAGCCAGATGGGTGGTATAAAAGTCAAACAAACAAACCATTCATCAGACCTTCTCTGGTCCACAAAAGAACTTATGGAGGGCAAAATTATATGCAAAAGGTAAATCAAACCCTTTGGAGAGTTCTGAAGGCCTGATATGGCAATCATGTAAATGTTAAGGGGGGGGAGATCTCCACAAGACAGAGATCTTATGGAGAGGACAAAAAAGACCCTGGACCCTCAGAAGTTGGTTACTTCTGCTTTAGGGCTAGAAGAATGAACCTGAAGAAGCATTGGGTTTTCACGCTTACCGCTTTCCTCTGCTCCTCTAGGGCAACCGTGAGGTAAGATTACAACCCTCTGTATCCTGGTTTAAAATAAGTGAGATTACTTAAGTGTCCAAACCTCACTTACTTTAAAATTACGGTTTACTCAAACAAGCCAAGGTCATATTATCTTCGGTTTTTCAGAAAACCATAGATCATGACATCTAGTTTCATTTTTTTTAAAAAATGTAAGATTGCAGTAACTTAGATTGTATGGGTGGTTTCCATCAAGTCTTAGAAATTCAAGGGTCGTGTTCATAGCTTCATTCAGTAAAATTCTTCCTCTTGTAACTACTTAAGACAATGATCAATTAAACTTAATCCACCTTCTCTGGCCCCAAGAGAAAGAAAAATCTCTGTAAAACAGTAAGACAGACTGTCCGGTCAGAAGAACACATACACTAGTGACTTTTTTTATGCTTACCAAATTTACCCAATGATTTGATTTATAGGATCTGGCCTTTCTTATGGAAGATTTGGAAAACTCAGTTACATATTCTCTATTTTATGTTAATTACTGCAGGAAAGCATCACTCAGAAGTATTTACCAATGATAGAAAACTTACATAGGCTTAGCATATCATATTTGATGACAAGTACAACATCTAAATCACCCTTGAGAGTAGTTTTATCATTACCTTGACATTGTCTCCAAGCAGATTTTTCCCAACTGAACAACTTCTTCAGAAGAAATGCCTTATATTAAAAATAATATTGACATATCAGAAATGTATGATTTGTTCCCCAGTGGTGCAAAATACTCCATTTTCAATACTGATTTTTTAAAAAGATATTTCAAATTATTGAAAACTTACTCTCATTCAAACATGCAACAGTCTACCATAGATAGCTGAATAGTTTATGAACTGCTTAACTGCAGAAGCAATTACTAATTTGGGCAGCTACACTACCTTTTCCTGACCTGAAAATGCTTGAAGAATTTGATGACAATGGACAAATATTCCTCTACCTATCTGTTACCTTTAACGGGAGTCAATGCTGCAGAAACACATGGGGAAGAAGCAAATTAACTGTTGAACTTGCATCTAAGTCAGGCGTTTGTGCTGGTTTTGTACATATTAAATAAATGTGTTCAAAATTGCTCAAAATATGTAGATATTTGTATTATTTTTCATTATATTAAATGAATGGTACACAACATATCAAAAGAGTGCCAAAGCTATTGCTGTTTACATTAGAGTGGTACATACAGAATGCAGTCACCAATAATAAACCCACTCAAATATGCTTTATTACATTAAATTACCAACTTCAGCAAAGAAAGAAGGGGAAATATAGTACCAATATAGTTTCCACAGATCTTTATTGCATTACCTGAACGGGTGCAATCACAGCACAAGGACCTCCTTCAAATTGTTCTAGTGCAGTAGATTCTGATTCACTGAACACAAAACCTAAAAGAAGGAACAAAAATGATAAATTAATTTTTTCCAAAGCAAAGTTAAGACACTTATTTTTGTCAAAATGTAGCATGCTATTTTCATTATTCTCTGCCTATGTTTTCAAACTCATTATTCTTTTAACAGTATAAAAGAACTGCAGTTATGTTCTCATGAAATTACAGACATCAGACAGTGCTTGGAGAGATTTATACATAATTTTCCCTTCTTGACTGTCCATATTCTTGTTACTTTTACCTCACTTCTGTTAAAAACTGAGAGCACAATGACAAACTGCAGCAGCAATGAGAAAGCCAGTTCTATCATCACTTCATTGCCTACGAGTCAACAGATCAAGCATTCATGGTACTTTCCTACCCTATCACAAAGAATCACACAATGCATGTTCTCCTAGATAAGGAATATCTAAATGCTTGCTCTTTATCCATTCTGCAGTGTTTGGGCTTTCTTTAGAATCCTACAAGCCTAAACAATTTGACATTAAAAAGACCAAATTTGGGATAATCAAAACTTCACACTGATATTTCATTACTCTTTTATTTCACCATTCGTTATAAATTAGAAAACAGTGGAAAATAACTAACAAACATCCTGGAAAATGAAGTAAAATCAAAACAAACTAAAATAAATTAAATAATGTCTGAAATCCTATAGCATGTGGCATACTATCAAGTCACAACTGCAGACGTTCATGCTGAGTTAGCCCATACCTGGGTACACAAGAAACTGTGCAAATGACCACATTACTGCATCTAAGAAAATATTTCCTGGATACTTTCACCTTGCTGCAAATTTCACAATTGCTCTTGCAACTTCAAGTTACTCAAGTGAAGCTATACAACCCCATTTCAGCCAATAATATAATTACATTTGCCATAATCAAAATAATTAAAGACATCAAATAAAGTTCTGTTTTCCAGATGGGAGTGAAACCCTGGATTGAACTCTAAGGGATAATAGGAGAGACCATACTTTTTATTTTAAGGTAAAAGCTCTGGGGCAAAAAAAATAGGGAGAAACTCACAAAATCATCTACATTACAATGTCGACAGGTAAAAAAAAATCATCATAGCATCACGGGATTACCTTCAGCAATGTTCAAGAAGTGGTAAGTTCCCTCTGAACCAATGTTCCCTCTAATTATCTGCACGCCTGCACCAGTGCATCTTAGAGGGAACATTGCTCTGAGAATGGATGCATTCTCTTATGATAATCTTTGGCCAAAATCAGCTGTGTTCTACAGTTTTGCTGAATTTATATTGGATTGTCCATACTTTATAAGCCCTTTTAAACCCATCAGAGTTTACTGTTTTGACACAAGTGAAATACTGGAATGAATGGTGTACAAAAGTCACTTTAGTTACTCCAATAGCTAAACAAGATTGATATCAACCAAGATCAAAGCAGACTTGTTATCTCAATATAATGTATGGATACTTTTACAATCATAAATAATTTTGCAACAATACTGCAGGGAAACAGCAGTTTGACGTTATCTGTAAGACTATAACAACTCAAATAACTAAAGCCTATATTAATAAAAAAGTAGTTTCTAATGTTAGAGCTTTGACTTCTGACTTTTCAGAAAACTGCAGGGAGTCAAATACAGCAAGAAGAGAATAAGAATCCAAGTGAGGGGAAAGGAAGGATAAAACATAGCAGCCATAACATAGTAACTGTATCAACAGAAGCTGGCTGGATAACCCAGTGAATTCAGTAGTATCTGGCCTCTGGAGCTAGAGGTTGAAATTCCAGTTCCTCTCAGAAAAACCAGCCTGTGTGGCCTTGGGCAAGGCTTGCTGCACAACCCCAGGATGTCCCCAGAAGGAGGGAATGGTAAACTACATCTGAGTACCTGCTTGTAACAGGAAGTAAATTATATATTCTCGTTTACTGTTTAATGCTCTGAGATATGTTTATCACCAGTCAAGTTTATATTCTTTCTTCAATAAAATTGTCATCGCAAAATAAATATTTTCCTAATGCGGATTGCTATATCTTTCAGCTTTATGTTGGAAGGGAGGAGAGAAAGTTTCAAGGTTGTCAGTCCAGAGGCAGTGATATTATTGCACTTACCGGTGCCTCTTCTGTAGAACTGCCATGGGGTTTATTGGACACATTTCAGTTAGTAGATATATTGTGCAAATACTCTATCTTTGCAGAAGACATACTGCGATTGCATTTGAAATTTTTTAACATTAAGACTGTAACATCATATCGCTCCTCTCTAAGCATATAGCTAGAGATGGGGGTATTTGTATATGAATATCCCCATGCAGTTACATTTAACGAGGGTCTGGCCCTGGTGGTGGCCTCACTCGTCCTTCCAATTACTCCCAGAGTGCCACTCTTCCCACTTGGCTAGTCACTCCAGGCAGGGGGAGGGAGGACAAGTCTCTCTGGATGGCTGCTGAGTGGCTAGCCGAGTGTGAAGAGAGCAGGGCTCTGGGCGTGATTGGAAGAATGAGCAGGGCCGTGGCACCACCAGATGCATGAGTGGATGGTCTGGCCCCAGGGGCTGGCCCCTCATTAAGTCTAGCTGCAAAGGAACATTCGTATTCATATAAAACAACCCCATCTCTACATATAGCATTGACAAGGTTATGCTGTTGGCTACTTTAGCTGGGCTAATGGGTTGGGCAAAAAGATCATTCTTCTTGGATAAGGTGCTGTTCTTCATTTCCTTTATTCCCTAACATTCTACTAAGCCATTTATAGCTGGTATCAACCTCGAGAATCATTATCAAAGATAAAATATTTCATCCAAGAATACAAGAATCTTCAGATTTAAAAAAAAAAACCTCCAACAGCAACAATACTAGTTTGTGAAGTATCTGAATTTATTATTCATGGGCAATGTAATGATAAACTCCACTGTCAGTGATGCTCCATTATTTCCATGGTGTAAGTAAAGAGCATGCTTGAAGCAGAAAAAAACTTTGCAATAGGGTCTTATATCCTTTATATTCAGAATAAGACCAAAAGGTTCTTAGAGACCAAGTGCCAAAACCTTTTTAAAATCCAGCCTTTGTAAGGACCAGGAAAACACTTCAGATTCATGGCTACTAGCATCTGTTTTCTAGATGCCTGCATAGCCTGGTAGTGAGGATTTTCCCAGTCCTGACAAACCAGACAATTAATGAAATGTACAAGACATATAACATAGCAGAGGAATACATAACAATTGGATGGCCGTTATAAAAGAGCCTTGGGACTTCAACTTCCACATGTTACCAAAGACCACAAATATCAACAATACAAGACGGTTATTATAGAGAGCAATTAAGCTATATTTAAGCTAATACAATACTTATGATAAAATACTACTTGTAGAATAACTACTTTGGCAATGGCCATAAACACAGAAGAGAAAAGATGCATCAGTTCCTCAACTAGAGATAACAAATAAACTCCTCCCAATTATAATGTGCAAAAAGTTACTGCCTATATAAACAAAGTTTCTATATTACAAATTGGAAATGACATCTCATATTCATATGTAAAATGGATGGGGGAGAAGTCTTTTAGCATTTATCACAACTGGTGTATTTGGATTCTTTCCCACCCACCAGAAAAAGGCAGAGGAGAAGGGAAGAATGCAGGACTAATATGAAGAAGTGGATACAGTCCATCTCATCTTACCTACCATAATTCAGAAACTGAGAAAAAAGCAAAGAGAATATCCTTTATTCCCTCATATGTAAGTTGCAAGTCATCCACCTCATAGTCATTAAAGCCCTATAAACAAACAGATCAAGGCCCCGCAAACAAGCATGAATAATTATTCCTCAGATAACCACTCATGCTTCATTTTCCCTCATTACCCCAAAGGGAGAAGAAAATTAGCGTAACAAATCTTGGTCTACAAAGGAATCTAACAGTTTCAGCTATTGGTTGGTATAAAGTAGTAATAAATATGTTATAAATAAACAAATAAACTAGGAGGAGGAGCATTATTTTTGGCAAATGGCGGTGTAGAGGTGTGGGTGTTAAAGAAGTGGGATAAAAGGGAATCTAAAGGGGGGGGGAGAGAAAGGAATGAAGAGAAGCAGGAAGGGAAAACAAAGGCACACGAAGGGAGCTCCTAGAGGGGAAGACTGGGTGGAGGCCGGGAGGAGGAGCCCCAGGACGAGGGAACTACCTTGCGCCCAGCGGCAGAAGATGGTGTCTCCGAGGCCCTGCGAGCCGGGCTTCTTGCCCCAGACCAAGTGGACCACCTCCTGCCCTAATTCTGCCATGGTGGCGGCAACAAGAGCAACCGGGGCGGCCCTCTAGCCGGGCGGCTCCGAGGCAACTCCCGGCGGCAGCGGAAGCCAGAGGGAAAAGACGAGGCCGACGAGGCGGCGGTTGAGGGGCGGCTGCCAACCCGTCTGCGCTGAACATGGGCTGCTGGGGCGGGAGGCGAAAACCGGCCAGGAGGGTCTTTCGCCGGGAGGAGGACGAGGACGAGGCTGACACTCCGGGCTGGCAGGCCTGAGGGAGTCAAAAAAAGGAAAGAAGGGTCAACAGGGAGGCGGCGAGG